CTCTTTTCTGTCATCATTTTTTCTGTCCTCTTCATCCTCTCATCTCTTTTGCCTCCCTTTTCCAATTTTTTTTATTGCTGTTACACAGTTTAAAAATGCCTTTTGTTAGTCCCTGTGTATATCTTGGAAGTTCTGTGTGCTGCTCCAGTGTAGTTTGCTCCTGAATGGCTTGGTGTATTTCATGCTCCACTTTACACATGCTACAGGGAGGGCACAATTGAGCCATGATTACAGTGTGAGGTCCTGTTAATAACTGCAACCACTCAGCCTCTGCACTTGAGGGCTAGTAAAAGGGTTAGCAGTCTTCCTTGATGGAATGATCCTTAAAAGTGGGTGTATAGATTTCCCTGTATATTATTAATAATACTTATATAGACTCTGATCCTGCATTTATAGCCACAAAGGTAGACCTTTGCTTTGTGCCTGCATGGAAGTCTGACTTCACTGATGTTACTGAAGGATCAGAGCCGTAGGGTATGTCTACACTGCAGTGTAAGCCAGGGTCTGTGGGACTCAAATCCACAGACTAGGCATTTCATAGCTCATGCTTAACTGTCCACGCTTAATAGTAACCATGGGTTTAGAATTTCTGGACTTGGGTCTCACACCAGCACTCATGTGTCCACACCGTACTGCACAGACCCGAGTCAAAGCAGCTTATCCCAGGCTTCCTAGTGCCCTCCCCAGCTGTAGCCCTTGGTTCATAGTGCAGCATGGGAAAACTTGACTCTCCATCCAGCAGCATTTTACCAGAAGTTGCCTCTGCCCACCAACACTTCCAGCTGAGCCGTCTTTGGGTCTGCACAGACGTCTGGAGCCAGTCTGGAGGTACCATTTGAAGAACTTGTACTGCTTGCACTTTCACTTCAGGAAACGGGCAGAGCATCCATGAGATACTGGTGGGCATTTGGGCAGCGTTTTCTGTCCTACCGAAGCACATCTAGGAGGAGGAGAATGATACAGACATGGCAGAGTCTAACTGGCAGATGCTGCTTGTGGCTCTTGGTATAGCTGCTGATGCTCCCTCTCAAGACTGGTGCTTCTGAAACTGGTGGGATCTCCTCTTACGGACCTGGGATGACCAGCAGTTTGTCCAGAAGTTGTGCGTGAAGAAAGTAACATTTCTAGAGCTTTGTGAACAGTTTGTCTTGACCTTCCAGTATCAGGACACACTCATGAGGGAGGTCATGTCAGAAGTGGTTTGCTATAAACATCTGGAAGCTAGCTACTCATGATGCTGCAGATCTGTTGCTAACCAGTTTGGTGTTGGCAAGTTGACTGTGGTAGCAGAAGTATGTGAGGCAGTATTGCATGTAATTTATCCAAAGGTAGTGGGCATAAACAATGTGCTTGAAATAATTGCTGCTTTTGAGAGAATAGTGTTTCCAAACTGCACCAGGGCCATTGATGGGACTAATGTTCCCATAGTTTGCCCTCCTCAAGGAGCACAAGAGTATCTAAACTACAAAAGGATATTATTCCATTGTTGTTCAGGCTCTTTTTGACCACAGAGACTGATTTGTGGAAAAGTGCATGATAATAGGATTTGCTGCCGATTGGGAGTTTACCTTCATGGGCAGACTGGGACCTACCAAATGACATTGTCATAATGGAGTAACTCTCCGCACTGTTGTTCTAGGGGACTCATGGGTATCCTCTTTTGCCTAGAGTTATGAAACAGAACCCTGATCACAGAGACTCTGGCAAAAGAAAGTTTAATTACACGCTCAGTAGATGTAGAATGGTGGTTGAATGTGCATTTGGTGCTGTTTACAGAATCGTTTGGAATCCTCTGCATTATTGTGGCTTGCTGTGCTCTTCACAAAGTTTGTGAAGTCATAGGCGAGCCATTTCGTCTGGAGTGGACGCATGATAGTGATGGATTGTTGGGCCAGTAAACTCAACCAGAAAGTGCACCTGTCACAACTGGAGCAGGATTCACTCATGCAACAGAAATCAGGGATGCTTTGTGCACTCACATTATGAACTTTCATGGACCAGTGGATGAAGATGATGATTCTGAATGCATCTGAACAGCAATATCAACAGTAAACTAAGTACTGTCACTGGGGGAGGGGCAGTGACTATTATGAATTTTTTTAATTGTGGATGAAATAACTGCTTACAATGTGGTAGTGGGGATGGTGGTTTTTATGCATTTTTACTTACGGATAAGATGAACTGTGTTTTTTACTTATGGATTTGAAAAGATATATTGAGACGTTTTGTTGTATACGACTTCCCAGTTATGCCTCATCATGTTTTTATCTTCTTTTCAATATATATTTTATGCAGTTCATCTGTAGTGATAGTAATAAACTTTGTTAATGAATCCAAAGCCTTTGTCATTCTGCGATACAATCCTGTTAACAATATTAACAGCCTTATAGGCAGGCCTGCTGCCATGAAATGACCAAAAGAGAAATGAAATAAAATCAAGTGCATACACAAAGAGTGAACAGTGCAAAACCATGAAACCAGTGCGCGCGCACACAAAAAATTGAAACTCTCTGACTTATGAGTGTCCCCAGCCTCCCTGTTCTTTGCCCTTCTAGGGCATTTTGTGTGCAATAGGAGCTGCTACATGGGGGTGTGGGACTGCACTGGGTACATTTTCCTAGTCCAGCTAGCGTTCAGTCCTGGTTGCATGGACCACAGAACCATAGAATTGTCTAGAGAGTTCCTGGTTTGCAGGATGTGGTGGCATGGAGGGGACTCAGGACATGGTGTTGGCTCAGCAGGTGTGGGTGGAGCCAGGAGCCTCACTCTCGCAGCTGTTAGCAAGCAGCCTCTCAAATAGGTCTTTCTCTCAAGTGACATTCCTGCTCAAAAAACTACACTGCAAGTTTCTCCTCACACTCTTTGCCTCTCTTTGCCTTTAACTTTGTCATGAATTCTTCTCCCTCTGGTAGTGGTGGCTGCCCCGTCCAGGATGTCTACCATGAGGTCGTCTCAGACAAACATCCTCTTTGACTGCATTTTGACAGTGCGACACCCCAGCTTCCTGCTGGACTGTGTCTGGCATGCAGAAGTAGAACAGCTTGAAAACAGAAATAAAACAGGATTGTTTCAGTATTACAGAAGTCTGCATCATCGCAGAAGTGTCTTTGGAATCTCCAGGCCAAAAAATGATACTTTGTAAAACTCCTTCAGTGTATTTGGAGAGCTAAATTTTAGTTTCCAGATGCTCTGTGAACAATAAGAGCTAGTATATGTAAAGCCTTCACACACAACAGAAATATCATTTGTAAATTTCACCTATCTTTAAAAATTGCTGACCACTGTAGCTTGGGTTGGGGGGCAGGGGTACAAACCATGGAAGTAAACTTGCTGTGGTTTACTACCTATAGTTTCACAATCCTTTTAGGCAGTCAGTATTCTGGAGATTCCTGAATGTCAAAGGGATATTCTGTTCCAGGCTACTGGTGGCAAGCCAGCCATTTTTGCTAAAGGGGTTTTCAATTTGCAGTGAGTGAGCAACACATCTATGAGTGGAATGAGATGGTGACCTGCAGAAGAGGGCCTAGAAAAATCACCCTGCTCTGAAATGTGATTACCCTTCTGGTGTTTGTACTATGAGAAAAGTTTGCAGCTATCACCCAAGATTGGATCAGAATTCATAGGGAAATGAACAGGGCTCCCACTGTTAGTTCCCCTCCTTCCCCTTAGGATATTTAGTAAAAGTTGCAGGTTCCCATGAATTTTTGTTTATTGCCCGTGACCTGTCTGTAACTTTTGCTAAAAATACCTGTGACAAAATCTTAACCTTAGTTATAAACCAGAAATCTCTCATTTGTATATTAATAACAAACATGGATGCGGAAACTTGCCAGGCCTCAGGCTACTTCTGCTTTTTCTGTTTCTGCTGCTGGTTCTGTGGCCGGCTGCTTCTCTGGGAAGTCATCAAACAGCTCCTCTGAGTATGGCCCCAGGATGTGCTGTAGCTGCTCTGGAGGCAAAGCGTCCTCCAGGACTGGCATGAGCACCAGTCACTTTGTAACAGTGATCTGGTGGCTGCTGTCTTCCTTCTGGTGCTGTAGTAGATTCAGGGGTCAGAAGGTCACCATCTTGGCTGATTGGTTGGCTCAGTGCTTGGCGCAATTCCCAGCACCTGGTCAAAGTCCTCACAAAAGAGCAGGATGAGTTCCCAGAGGTGCAGTTCTCGTCCCTGGCTTTCTGATAGTCTGTCTGGATCTGCTCTGCATTGATTACCTATCCATTGAATCCCCAGCGCTCCCAGCTTCTCTGATATTTCTTGATAAACGTGGTCATTTCTAGTACTCTTACCGGAGTCAAATGTCTTGTTCACCTCACACCAAAGATGTACCAGAATCTGACTGTGGTCCTGTGACCAGGTGTGCCAGCATGCTTGGAAAATGACTTCCTATTGCGGGCCACAGCTAACGCAGGAGGTGTTTTCAATTCAGCAATCAGAATAAAATGGAAGGATTAAACACAGAGTATACTTGAACCAGGGGGGTTGCTTCAATTTCCTGTGGTCAATTCGCTAGACTTGGGATAGAAAGGCGAGGAAACACTGGCCCCTGGGATTGTGGGATAGCATTGGCAGACTCTCAGGACACAATCCTGAGAACCTGTTCCTGACCTGTGTCCACACTGCAAAATGATAGTTTGGACTCAAGTCCCAGTGGGACTTTGGCACAGACCCCACCCCACTGCTGGGCCATAGGGCCTGGGTCCTGAAGGCGTACTGGCCCAAGTCAGGCAGATTTGTGTGTGGACAAAAAGCAGGTTTGGGCTTGAACCTGAGTCTAAGCCCAGGCATATGTTGTAGTGTAGACATGATTACATCAACTGATATTTTCACTCTGGTCAGTAAAATAAGATCAGCCAATTAAATGTGACCATTGGTTTACTTTGACTGTTACAGTTATTAATTAATTCTAAATTACAATGTGAAGTATAGAAAATGTGTATCTTAAGTGGAAGAACTTTTGGTTTGCATATGTAACTGGTCTAATGAAGAGTTTTATTTTCAGAATTTCTTGAGGTTGGCAAGAAACAACCTGCCCTTGATGTTCTTTATGATGTTATGAAAAGCAAAAAACATCGAACATGGCAAAAAATCCACGAGCCGATTATGCTGAAGTATCTGGAGCTCTGCGTGGACCTCCGCAAGAGCCACCTGGCAAAGGAAGGATTGTATCAGTACAAGAATATTTGCCAGCAGGTAGGAATTGTGAAATGTTTGTTCTTTACCACCCACAGCATGATGTACGTTAGAGTTGTATATTTAAAACTTATTTATTACTTCTAAAACATAGAATTGTTTTGTATCCAGGGCCCCAGTCCTGCAAGTTGCTGAGGTCTGCCGAACGGCTTGCAGGGTTGGAGTCTAGATAGCAGAGCACCCAATATACTAGGTCTCCAGGTTTGATCGGTATATCTGGGCACTATTATAAATTTAATCCAAGTAATAACTAATAACGTGATTTTAGATTTATGGACTTATTCTATCCAAGCCTGCTTTAGATTTTACCACCCTAATTAGAATATATGCTTACAATATTTGCTTCCCATTGCGGGGAGAAAGCCACTTCAAATGTTCTGCTTTTGATCTAGGTGAACATCAAATCCTTGGAGGATGTTGTTCGAGCCTATTTGAAACTAGCTGAAGAAAAAACGGAAGCTGCCAAGGAAGAGTCCCAGCAGATGGTGCTAGATATAGAAGACTTGGATAATATTCAAACTCCAGAGAGGTAGGAGGTCTTCCTTTCAATTGTAAGCCCTTGTAAGGGTTTGTCTCTTCTGTGTATTCACAGCACCTAGCATAAGGGAATCTTAATCCCCTATGGAGCCTCTGGGTGCTATCATAATATAAATACTTTCTACTGCTGCTGAAGGCTATGCTTCTACTGTCTTTTTAGATAAGACTTAATGTAGCTCTTACCAGTTGTACATTTTAAAAATAGATTTTCTATTTAATTTACATGTCCTGGTTTTAGATTTGTGATTAGGTTTGAGATAAGAGGTTTGGAGTAAAATTAAACCATCAGTATTAGAAAAAGTGGCTTTATTGTATAAATTACATATCTGACTTATAGAGTAAATGTAAATTTTGCTCAGTTAATATCCAGATATTTTTTATGATGTAACTTTATTAAGGCAGATTATGTATTTAATAATTTAAATGGTTCTGTGAGTGTCTGGGAGTTGGTGGAACCCAGTTCAAGCTGTCTAAACATTAAAGTGCTTGACCATGCTGTCAGATCTTATCTTCTTGATATCATTTTAAATCTGTAATTAAGCAGTTCTCCAAAATCAGATTTTAAGAAGGAATGTTTCTGGGGTGTGTTTGTGTTTGAAGTATCTGTTAAAGCCTCCTTTAGGAAAACAAACTACCTGGGGATTGAAGGGATTTGTCTGTTGGCTGGGTGGTGGGAAAGAAATGATCTTAACAGCCTGTGACAAATGTATCCTTTACAAAAATGATTATTTAATCAAGCATCATCCTGTTCAGTACCATGGAATATGTAGTTGGTCAGGTATGGGCAAATGAATAATTATTTGGTCTAGTTCATAGGCATGTAAATTCAGAAATAATTTAAAATTTGTTAGGATATTCCTGAAAGTGTAAATTTACCTTGTATTTGTAGACAACTTGGTATCTTGCAGACTAAGAAATGGGTGGATTTAGTTAGAAGTAGAAAAACAGACATTTTAAATAAGGATGTTGAGAAAGTACACATGCAGATAGTGACAGCTTCCATATCTTCTAGACTTTTAGAAAATGTATCCTTTCATATTGCTTAGGCATATCACTTTAAGGCTGGTGGTCTGTTGTGAAGGTTATAGAAATCAGTGACTGTGTGACCGTACCTGTTTTCCAAACAGTGTCAGAGCACAAATTTCTGCTTTGTCACATGTCAATAGATACAAGTAAGCCACCTGAATCGGCTGCTGGTCCCTCTGGTAGCATTGCAGGGGAATTGGGGAGGAAGACTGGGCTGGTAGAGGAGTCTACTGCTCTCTTGCTGGAAGGGGGAAAGACTTCATAGATGAGGTGTTCCCAAAACAGTCTTTTCGTCTGGTGTTGTGCGGAATACCAGAAGCAAGGAAACCTGGGCTTTTCAGGGCTCCCACCCAGTACCATCAGCTGTCTACATAGGATGCAGCTTGAGCTGGAGTTAGCTTTGAAATTCACTGACAAGCATATGACTTCTTTTTAAATTCTTCATAATAGCCAAAGTCTTGGGAATGTGTAAAAACATACAGTAAACCTTAGCCGTTCAAGTTTGACTGGGCTGTTTTGTAGGTCTTAATAAGAAAGTGGTAAGTGAGCGATGAGGGCGGGAATCGTGGGGACTAACTGTCACTTTCTCAATTATAGTGTTCTCTTAAGTGCTGTAAGTGGGGAAGACACTCAAGATCGTACAGATCGGTTGCTTTTGACTCCCTGGGTTAAATTTCTATGGGAATCATACAGACAGTGTTTGGACCTTCTTCGAAACAATTCTAGAGTGGAACGCCTCTACCATGATATTGCACAGCAAGGTAAAATGGAAGCATGAAGTGTAAATTACAGTGTGACTTAGCACATCTGTGTGTGCACACCCTCAGCTGAAAAATTACAAGTTACTTTTGCTTGAATAAAGCTATTGGTGAAAAACACATTAATCTCTCAGGCTTGTGTGCATGCACACAATATTTTAGAACTTCCTGAGGCCCCTTGACTCCAGGATGGCTGGATCTGTAGTTAATATCTACTTGATGCAAGTAGCTTCTTATAACAGATCTTTTAAGAGCAGTTTTATTTTTTCCAGGAGTTTCCTCTAAGAATATTTAGTAGTGTTGTACCGTATTAATCTCGAACCTATTTTCTTAATCACAAGTAGAAGGTACATTTCCCCCATTGTTATCCATTATGGCAAATGTTATTCCCCCAATGAGATATGACATGTAACCAATTTTAGGTGCAATAGCTGACTGGCTGAAATAGTTGTTCTTTCGATCAAAAATTATTGGACTCCATGTCAGAATACCTGGGTGAACTGTTATGGGTTGTGCCAAGGAGAAGGAAAGATGAGAAAGTCAGGGTCGTCCTTCTGGCCTTAATATCTGAGTTTTGAAAGAAGAGAAGTGGGCATATAAAGAATCTCCTTTTGGGCTTTTTTGAGTGGGATTGTGGAAGAAATAATCTAGATTTATCTTCCTCCATTTTCATAACAACATGGATATTTGTATCCTTTGTTGAAAGAAACAACTCCAAGTTACTAGATTTTTTTTCTGTCCCCCAAAATTGTGCATATTGTGGGTGGGCTCCTTTGTTCCTTGGAGGGGTCTTCCTGTCATTCATCCAGTGTTCCCTGCCACACTGATTTTTCTCATCCAGAATCGGTCTCCTGTCTATCACTGGGAGAGAAAGGGATATTTCATCAGTAGTAAGTTAGAGTAGAAGTGTCCCAATGCAGGCACTCTTATTTTATTTTAAAAAGAGGGTGAAGTAGAAAACTAGAATTTACCCCCTTTTTGTGAATGTTGAAGTAACTTGCCACAGTGGACTAATCTGAATTTCAGCAGTAAGGGCTTGATGAGAATCTTTTCCTGCTTTTCATAGAACCAGAAACTTTTAGATTCTACCACCCAAACAGTTTTATTGAGAATTATTTTGGACACTTTCTGAAAGGCTGGTACAACATTAAAGCAAGGAACCGTGTTTTCTGTTAAACATTTTAAAAACAGTCTAATAAAGTGATCTTGTCAGGTTTTTAATTTAGTAAATCTGCAAAAACACTCAAGATAGTATTATCTGGCAGAGTCTCTGGTTTGTCTCTTGAGAGGCTTTCAGTGGACTTCTCCAAATCAAGAATCTTTAGGCAACTTGATTTTCATATCATGCAGTTTGAAGCTATAGCTAATGTTATAGTTATTTAATAGTTAACATTTAATAGTTAATATTGCTAACATGAACATCATTCAATTTCACAGCTTTTAAGTTCTGCTTGCAGTACACTCGTAAGGCTGAGTTCCGTAAACTCTGCGATAACCTGAGGATGCATTTAGGGCAGATCCAACGCCACCATAACCAAAGTACAGCAATTAACCTCAGTAATCCTGAGAGCCAGTCTATGCACTTGGAGACAAGGCTTGTACAGCTGGACAGTGCTATTAGCATGGAATTGTGGCAGGTATGTATTAAACTTTATGCTTATTAACAGGACCCACAATACTTTACTGCACCAAGATCCATAGACTCTCCGTCCCAAACTGGCGTCAAATTTTGAATTCCGTGGTGTGTACTCCAAGATCTAAAATAACATACAGGGATGCGAAGATGTAGAGTGAAATTTTAATGTGTTGAATTTATAGTGTAGTTATATGTGTATTTTAAGTATCAAACATCTGATGATCCTGGTGCTGTCTAGAAGCAGAACTTCAAGATAAGCCACTATTTGCAATGGAAAATGAATTTTTATGGGCGTTGATGTAGTTGCCAAAGACTGCTTGGAGTATATGTGAAGGAAATCAGTTAGTTGACCCTCCTCATCTCTGAAAATTTGCTTTCTCAAGGGGGAGATCAGGTTTTCTGGAGGCATTCAGCAGGGACCTAAATCTGTGATGGGGTCCCCATTCTCTAACTATTTTCAAGGTCCCAAAATTGTGGAATCTGACCGTCTATGATTTAGATACTAATTTATTTTGTTATTTCTACTCAGTCTTTTTCCTTTAGAGAAATGCCAAAGTCAAAATTACAGTTATTAATGCAAGTTTTATTAATTTGTTTTACATTAATCTTAAAAATATTACCATTATGTTCCTTTATCAGGTGTAGATTTGTCATGCTTCTAATATAATAAATCTAAGGCAGTTCTGGTCACTATTGACTAGATGGGAGATGGAGAGGAGGGCAAATAGAGCTTGTTGAAGAAATTCTGAGGAGACATTTTGTCATTGGAATTTGCCAATTTGTCAAAATCAAAATGTTTTGCAAAGATTGTTCAATTTTGATGAAGTTCCGATGGAAGCCAGGCAGGCTTCTGACAACCTTGTGTGCTTGATTTCTTGTCAGCTCACTCACCTGGCTCCTTTGTACCCTGCCTGGTGGGCTGACAGAGAGAGCTGAGACCCTCGCTGGGAGTCCAGGCTCATTGATCTTTTGTAGCCTTGGGCTTCCAGGGTCTGTGGCTCCAAAGCAACCCACCAGGCAGACTGCCCCAGATTGGGTTTTTTTCCCTTTTATAGAGAATTTTGAAATCTTCTAGTTTTGTGCCAAATTGGAATGAAACCAAAACAGAATTCCCTTCGCTGCCCAGCTCTAGCAAATAGTTTTAAAGTATTTGCAATATATGTAATATATGTAAATCATATGTAATATATGTAAATCATTTTCTTAGAAAGGAATGTATTTATTTCTGGGTAACTGATCAAGTTGAAAATTACAGATAAAGATATATATTCAAATGATAAAGCTGTGTATATTAAATATGCTCCTAAAAGGTTTAGCTTTTAGTTTTCTAATTTTCTTGCAAGTAATATACTGAAAGTAATTCTTTTGTTCATTATTTTAGGAAGCTTTCAAAGCAGTGGAGGATATTCATGGGCTATTCTCCTTGTCTAAGAAACCACCCAAGCCCCAGCTGATGGCAAATTACTATCACAAAGTTTCCACTGTCTTCTGGAAATCAGGAAATGCTCTTTTCCATGCATCCACACTTCACCGACTGTATCACCTGTCAAGAGAAATGCGAAAGAATCTCACACAAGAGGAGATGCAGAGGTGGGGAGAGATGCTTTTCACCTAGCTTCTGGTTTTAATCACTTATGTACAAATACATTCAATTTAGCCTGTAATAAGAAGCAGATGGAATGTTTGTTTGAGAGGGTGGCATCAGATACTGAACAGCTTTGCTTAAAGGGAAAAATAAAGAATGTCCCAATAATAAGGGCAAGAAGGACATTCAACGAATCTTGTAATGAAGGTGAGCATTGGGACCTCCTGGGGTGTTGTTACCATATTGGCCACAGACAGAGACCCTGAGCAAATCACCAAACCTCTGTCTTGCATCCGTTTTCCATTTTGTGAAATGGTGAAATACTTCACATGACTTAATTATTGTTAGTAAAGTGCTCTGAGATCTTTGAATGAAAGATTCTATGTACATTATTAAGGCAGACAATAGAATCTATTCACCTCAGTGCTGAGTGTGACCTTGAAAAGGCTTTTGAGGCATGCTGGTGCACTCAGTGAGCAGCAGTTGGCTATCCATGGCTGAACTCTGGAGTTTGTAAACCTGTAACGTTCACCTACAAACCCTTGTAAATTAAAAAATGGTGGGAAGGTACAATTTAAGGAAGATGTTTACATTCCACTTAAACATACTTATCTGGGCATTCAGCACATATTTCAGATTTTATTTAATGTCACCTTCTACCGTAACATATTCAAGTTAGACTTATTTTTTAATTGATTTTTTAAAATTATCACATCAAATTAATCAATTTTATGGAGATGTCAGTAGCTATTCCACAGCTAAGGGGCTTTGTGATTGTACTGAAAGCAGGACTAAGATGGCTCTGGCTACCAATTATTGGATATTCTTTAATTTTTTTGTATTTGGAGAGAAGGTTTTTTGGGTTTTTTGTTTTGTTTTGTTTGTTTTTGTTTTGGTTTTTTTAAAGGAAGCTGAGTAATAAAGGGCTTATATCGACTAAGTTATCCCAGCTAGAAATTAAGAAGCACTCAGAATTAGTCTGAACACTGAAATACTAAGATGTCTTGTTTTCTGGTGTTGCTTGTGTTTTGACATGGCGTAGTTTTTGAAAGAATAAATCATTCACCCCTTAGCTCTTACACTGATTGGATGCTTCTGTTTTACAACTGAAATGTGTGTGTAAAAAAAACCAACAAAACACACACACTAAGATTTCTATTTTATAATTCATCTTTTGTGATTATACTTTAACAACAGGATGTCAACCCGAGTCCTTTTGGCTACTTTGTCAATTCCTATAACTCCTGAGCGAACTGATATTGCTCGTCTTCTGGATATGGATGGTATCATCGTTGAAAAGCAGCGACGTCTGGCCACGCTGCTGGGCCTCCAGGCCCCACCTACACGCATCAGTCTTATTAATGACATGGTAAATAATGGTGTTTGAGTGAAAGGTTTTATATTTAAGCTGTAGTTTCCCTCAAAAGCTGCTATAGTTAGATGTGGAGCTGCAATTCAAAATATTCCAGTAAATTTAAAAAGTACATTAAAGTAAAAGAATTCAACATGATCAACTGTAAAGATGTTTATAATTTAACTGTGTAGTAATATACTTTCTTCTGATGTGCTAGAAAGTCAGGCTAAAGTTAGTCCCTCTCTTTGGTCTGTATTTCTTTCTCCATTTGAAAAACAACATGGATAGACTAATCCTAACTCCATGTCTTTGTACCCAGTGAAATTTAATGCTCCAATATAGTGATAAATATTGTCCATTTTGTGACAAAAGCAAATCAGAAGCCTGCTGTGAATGATCCTGCAATGGCTTTGGAGGGGTTGGAGACCAGGAACTTTCATTTTTTTCTTTTGACTTACCATATTGAAATTGGAGGGTAGTTAATTAGATTAGATGTTTTAATATATTTTTCAAGGTGTATCAAGGTAAGATTAGTACATTAAGATGAATGAAGGTTTACAAGGACCTAGGCAGTTAGGAAAACTTCCCCTTGTTTGATTTGAGAGAAGGTTAGTGAGATACAAATTGTCTTCTGGTGATACTTTCCAAGTCTTCATGAAAAAAATACCTTTCCTTGAAGTCAGTTACATGCATTGAAAACTGAACTCTTGTTACCTCTCACAATTTAAGCGTTATTGTTTTTGCATCAAGCAATTTTTTTTGCCACTTTTAATTTTAGAACTTTGGGAATTTACCAATAAGCTGTAATATGTACATCTGTAGTTCAGATCCACTCATAAATATACTCAGGCAGGGACTGTTTTCATTTGTGTCTCGGAAGTGCCTAATATGCTGTGCACGCTAACACAATCAAAATACTTTTCATAGACTACATTTTTTTGTTTTTCTCTGTTCTGACATTTGCAGCTGAAAACTACATTCCACAAATTCTGTGCGCTAATTTAAATAATGTATCATATGTTTGATTAATCAAAATGTTTTTAATTAAAACATAATGAAGTAAGCATTTCATTAGCTGCATGTTTAATTTCTTAGGTACAAAATTGCTGAGTGTAATTATTACAATATTGTTATCCTAAGCAAATATTTTTTTTCTTCCATTATGTTGACTTTAGGTGAGGTTCAATGTAGTGCAGCATGTTGTTCCGGAGGTGAAGGAACTTTACAATTGGCTTGAAGTAGATTTCCACCCACTAAAGCTATGTGATCGTGTAACCAAGGTGAGTCCTGTAGGAGTATTTAGAGAAACATGAGTCTGGGCAGATATTAGCAGTTAGCGAGGTTGGAGTTTCAGGTCTTTGGGTCAGGGACTTCATTTGGCCCATTTTCATTATTGCTGTGTGTTTACATTATACACTGCTGTGTATGCCTATGTTGCTATATAAATAGCATATAAAGTTGTTTTCAAAAGCATTTTTAACCTGCCATATCCTTTGGCACCACTTAAAGTGCTTCTACAAGGAGACATAGTTTTGGGAGCAACCTTGAAATTCTAGCTCTCTGGGCTGATGAAGGTGATATTGGGGATGCAGTTGAGCTAAGCTTTTGGTAGTTGACGCATCCTCAGTCTCACCCTCTTCTGGAAAGCTACTGAAATGATTGTATGGGAGAGGGAAAAACTGCAAAAAGCATCTGCATTTACCTTTAGGTGGAGTTCAGGCCACAGTGAGAGTAAAATAAGCACTGTAAATTTGGTCCACAGAATTTTTCTAAATTCCACAACTGGTGAAGCACATTATATTGTCTTTGTGTCTCTAAGAACAGGAATATTTGATGTGCTAAAGAAACAGTGAAGGTAAATTCACAATGTGGTTAATATGGCCAGTGCTGTCAGTCCTTTCTACAAAATCTAGATATCCATTGTGTAAAAAACAGTAGTGTGTTTATCAAAAGATTTGCATCAGTAATAAATTTATAATTAGGCAGTGCTTTGCTTCATGAATTCTAAAGTGGAGTTATTTTGGAGAGTTCGTTTAACTTGAAATTTGAAGAGTATTTTGGGGCTCTTAGATGAAATAGATATTGTAACTTTCTGGGCATTGTGACAGGTTCTAAACTGGGTGAGAGATCAAGTTGAAAAGGAACCTGAATTGCAGCTGTATGTCCCACATCTGCAAAACAACACCATCCTTCGTCTTCTGCAGCAGGTATGATTATTAAAAAAAAAAAAATTGAATGTGTACAGAGGTGTCTGAGTTTGAGATTGATTCGGAAGATTCTGAAGCCAAAAACCTAACATTTTATTTTATGTCCTAAGTAAAAATTTGCCATTGAATGTAATGTTCTTCGTATGACTTTGAGACTGTCTTTTCCCCCCAATCCATATAACACATCCTTCCTGTCTTATACTGCTTTGTTAAACACAACTCAGCTGCTATCTATTTTAAATAATAGCTGTATACACTGGTGTAGGATTGTATCTAGACTTATTTGTTCCTGTATTTAGCTTTTCAGTCTTGTCTTATGTCTGTTCAATCCTTTGTTTCCTTGTAGTTAATTTGAAAAAGGCTTATTTTGTCAAATGCACATTTCATTGACCTGAACCCATTGCAGTGGTGAGCAGTGTTATTTCTGATGTGCCAGACAACAGCTGAAGGTTAATTAGCAGCGTTGCTGTATATAGTTACTGCTGCCAGTCTCCTTCAGACAAAGAACCTAGTCAGGAAAGTCACTTGATCTTAGATTAAGATTAAATAAAATGTTGGAAGAAAATGTTGAAGTGTTGGTAAAATTTGAATAATAATTAAACACATCTTGGTTAACCTGTGGCCCAACTGTTAGTTAATCAAGCTAACTTTACAGCATGTGCAACAGTTTTAGCTTCTGTTAACCTGATTTTTAATGGGAAGAAAACTGAATATTCATATATTGTGCAGGTGGCGCAGATTTATCAGACCATCGACTTTTCTCGTTTAACTACCTTGGTTCCTTTTGTTGATGCTTTCCAATTAGAACGTGCTATTGTCGATGCAGCCAGACATTGTGACTTGCAAGTAAGTGCCATAAAAAGACTACTGTAAAAGTGTAAGTGTGTGTGTGTATTTATATTTATAGCTTCCCAATATCTGGCCAAACTCCGGGGTCAGGTAAAAAGTAGCGGGTTGACACTCAACCCAGATAATGCAGAGTTGATGCTGATGAACAGGGAAGGAACAAATTGAGGATGTGATCTCTTTTTGATATGTTAATTTGTTAATGTTTTTATGTTCTTAAATTGTGTAGCCCACCTGCAGTAGTGAAGAGGAGTTCAGTATGTAAATACAATAAATTTCAGCGAAACTTATTTGTGACTGCCCAAGGGATCAGCAAAAACAGATTGTCTAATACAGGATGTCCTTAACCAAAAGTCTAACAAAACAGTACTGGAAACTTTGGGCACGCTCCAAAGTAATCACTTAGGACCACTTCCAAAAAGCTATACGTGGTGCACACTTTGTCCAGCTGTAGGCATGATATAAAGCAGCAAACGGCTTGAGACATTTTAACTTCTGCTGTAGATAACAGATGTATTGCCAGTGGAAGTCAAGTATATACTTAAAAGGAACAGGAGTACTTGTGGCACCTTAGAGACTAACAAATTTATTTGAGCATAAGCTTTCGTGGGCTACAGCCCACTTCATCAGCTGTAGCCCATGAAAGCTTATGCTCAAATAAATTTGTTACTCTCTAAGGTGCCACAAGTACTCCTGTTCTTTTTGCGGATACAGACTAACACGGCTGCTACTCTGAAACCCGAAGTGTATACTTATGTATTAAACATTAACCTGAGCTGTAGCCTACACTACCATATTTTTGCATATGATCATGAAGAAACAAACTGTTCTTATTTCAGAGCACTTCACATCTGTTCATTTGATTTAGGGAAGACGTTGAGTCTAGTTAGTACCTATAATAAAATACTTGCATTTGAAGGCCTCATTGAAGTCACTGGCAAAGCTTCTAGTGGCTATGTTGGGATCAGGCTTTCACTCTTGGTGTCTACTGCCAAGTTTAAGTGGAATGAAGTAGAGCAAGTTATCTGTCACTAATGAAAGGGCAGTAGCAAGAACTATTCATGTAGTTGGTTTTCACCTCATGCAGTGTTCCTTACATAGAATCATTGAATGACTCTGTCTTAGAGCCATGCTTCCGTACTTATCTTTATTCAGACTTTGGAGAGTCACTTCTTTATGGAGGTGAGCTTTTTTACAAGCCATTTTGTTCCGTTGAATATAAGCCAGATGTAGCAAAAGTTTTGTTCTTTAATTGTTCAAACGTCATTTCCAATATCTAGAACAGTTGTTTTTTAAAAAGTAATTTACGCTTAGAGCTTGTCTGCATGCTGAAGTTGCACCATTTTTTAACTTTACTTGGTTTAAAACAAATTTAGTTAAACTTGTGCAAACCCCTTTGTGGACAAACTTCTGTTTAAAATTGTGTCAAGTATCAGAGGGGTAGCCGTGTTAGTCTGAATCTGTAAAAAGCAACAGAGGGTCCTGTGGCACCTTTGAGACTAACAGAAGTACTGGGAGCATAAGCTTTCGTGGGTAAGAACCTCACTTCTTCAGATGACTTGCAGTGAGGTTCTTACCCACAAAAGCTTATGCTCCCAGTACTTCTGTTAGTCTCAAAGGTGCCACAGAACCCTCTGTTGCTGTTTAAAATTGGTTACATTGTTTCACCTTGCACCTGTAAATTTAAGCCAAATTTAAACCTGTTTAAGAAGGGTCACATGCATTTGCATCACATTAACTCAGTAAGTTTAAAATCACACGACCAGTGAAATTGGTGCATCTTTGTGTGTTGACCTGGCCTCGGAGGCACAGTCAACTTAAAATCACACTGCAGACAATGCAGTGGTTATCTATGGCAGTAGAATTGTATTTACCTGTTGTTACGAGTACCACTTAAGTTACTATAGCTGAAAGAAATAATTATTTTTTCAGTTTATTTTGTATATTTGATAGTATTTTGTGTGTCGTCAATTTTACTGTTTCCTGTGTGTTGTCATTTGCCCAGCTATGGGTCACTGACACAACATGAAGAGAGAGACATTATTTAAATATAATAATTAAAAAAAAGATTTTTTTTAAACCACAATGAGGAAGCACAAGTCACTACTTTTAACTCAGTTTTTGAAACTGTCTATATTTCAAATTGATGTCTCATTTTAAATATTAGTGGTGCCCTAATCCTGATCTTCTGAATCTTTTTTCAATGTATTTTGTAAAGGTTCGCCTTGATCATACGTCTCGAACGCTGAGTTTTGGATCAGATTTAAATTATTCAACTCGGGAAGATGCCCCGCTTGGCCCTCAGCTGCAAAGTATGCCTTCTGAGCAAATTAGAAATCAGCTGACTGCTATGTCCTCTGCTCTCGCTAAGGCTCTTGAAGTCATTAAACCGCCAAACATAGTGGTAAGTATTTTTAAGTTTTTGAAATTTTTGTTGGGGGGAAAAAAAAAAAATCTCAACATTCCGTGAAGTGAATTGTCTCTGTCTGTTGTACTGTTTCTGTTCAACCTTTTCTTGCCTAGTCAAATGCACATTTCATTGACCTGCTCTCATTGCATTGCTGAGCAGTGTTATTTCTGATGTGCTAAACAAACAGGTGAAGGTTAATTAGCAGCATGACTTTATGTAGTTACTGTTGCCAGTCCCCTTCAGACAAAACAACTGATCAGGAAGGTCAGTGTGTACAAATTTAATGTAGTAGTAAAATGATTATTAGTAGCAGATGGCTAAATGTGTCTTAGCATCCTTTGCCCTCTCAGTTAATGTACCCCACCCTTCTAATTCCACTAGTTTTTTTGGATTAGTCAGATATACTTGTTTTGAAGCTGTCGGTGCCTTTGTAAATATTAATCGTTTGTTTGATTTACTTTCCTATGGCACAGGAAAACCATTTAATTGTCTATAGTTAGTTAAATAAATTAATGGGTACTGCTAGGGTTTGAGTGGCCCAAAGCTTGGTTGTTGCATTTTTTTGCAGTAATATGTTGCTCCATCTTTCTCTATTTTATTGATATTATTACTGTTCTAGAGGATTGTGCCAACTGTTGGTTTTTAATACCCTCAAGTTGTAAGGATGAGCTGTATTCGTGTACTTTTGAATTAAGTAAAAACATAAGCTAAAAAAAGTGATATTTTGTCAATTTTATGTTTTGTAAATTTCAGAATTTAAGGAATAGGTCGTTTGTCAGATTGAATTAAATTATTGGCCCGTCTGGTAATGTCTTCCTCTGGCAGTAGTAAGTTATTGACACTTCTGAGGGAAGACAAAAATTCCATGATGCATCCAACCAGTTAGTCTGTGGCCATGTAATTAAAGACTGTATCACCATGTATGCATATGAGAGGGTGGAATTAGGATTGCCTGGGCAACCTTTATTCTGTGGCATATCCTTGCTTCTGAGTGCTTGATTTTACAACCTTAACATTCTTTTACTTTTTTTGGCATATAATTAAAGATGTAGGATCCTGATTTATCTCCTCTTCCTGGAGGACTTTGTCAGTGTAAAGGACCTGGAATGTGACCTCATAGCTGAAGCTAGAAACCTGAGGTAAAGGTTTCCCTGCCTTAAAACCAACTCCCCCTCAGTTGAGGCTGATAGTTACATGTTGGATTTCAACCTCCATCTGTGATGTCACTCTTCAGGTTCTCCAGGAAAAATTGGTGTTTCAGAGCCTGATCTTTCAAATACTTTTTTTGGTGAGCGAGATCTTTGAGTTAATCTTTACCTATCATAAAGAAACAAAAAAGGGCAAACTTTTTTTTGTTTTGCAGATGTATTTTGAGAGTGGACATTTAGAATCATAAAAATATAGGGATGGAAGGGACCTCAAGAGGTCATCTAGTCCAGCCCTCTGCACTGAGGCAGGACGAAGTATACCTAGACTAGCCCCGAACGGTATTTGTCCAGCCTGTTCTTAAAAAGCTTCAGTGAAGGGGATTCCACATTGGAATGCTTCCATGTTCCAGTGCTTAACTATCTTTATAGGCAGAAAGTTTCTCCTAATATCTAATGTAAATCTCGCTGCAGATTAAGCTTTCATCTTCAGTGGGCATGGAGAACAATTGATCACCATCCTCTTTATAACAGTCCCTTACCATCTTTTAAGACTTATCAGTCTCCTTTTTACCTTCTTTTCTCAAGACTAAACATGCCCATTTTTTTTAACCTATCTTTATAGGTTGTTTTTTAAACCTTTTACAATTTTTTATTGCTGTCATCTGGACTCTCTCTAATTTGTTCACATCTTTCCTAAAGTGTGGTGCCCAAAACTGGACACACTACTCTAGCTGAGGCCTCACCAGTAGGGACAGTTACTTCCTGTATCTTTCATACGACACTCCTGTTCACAGAACAGGAGTACTTGTGGCACCTTAGATACTAACACATTTATTAGAGCATAAGCTTTCATGGACTACAGCCCACTTCTTCTCCTGTTGTTAATACACTCCAGAATATTAGCTTTTTTTGCAACTGTATCACATTGCTGAATCATATTCAATTTGTGATCCACTGTAACCCAAGATCTTCTTTAGTAGGACTAGTGCTTAGCCGGTTTTCCCCATTTTTTTAGTTGTCCATTTGATTTTTCCCTTCCCAAGTGTAGTATTTTGCACTTGTCTTTGTGGAATTTCCTCTTGTTGGTTTCAGACCAATTCTCTAATTTTGGAGGTTGTTTTGAATTCTAACCCTGTTCTTCAAAGTACTTGCAACCCCTCTCACCTTGGTGTCATCTGCAGATTTTATGAGCACAAACTGTACTCTATTATCTAAGTAATTAATGAAAATATTGAATACTACTGGCCCAGGACAGACCCTTGCAGAACCTCACTAGATAATCCCCCCCTTCCCCCCCCCCCCCAGTTTTACTGCAAACTATTGATAACTACTCTTTGAGTACTGTCTTTCATCAGGTGTTGTACCCACCTTATTGTAATTTCTTCTAGACCGTTTCCCCAGTTTGCTTCTCAGTACGTAAAGTACCAATATGTATTGAGTGACACTAAGTCGTCTTTAGATTTTTACGTTGTGTTCAGAGTAATCATTTTGTACATGCAGTGTTTGTCTTGAGTTGACTTCTAGATAAATTATTTAGAGGTGACTACCTGCATGATTAAGCACTACTATTGATTGTCATAATGGCTGTTAGCAAAGCCTTCTTAGGGCTGGGTCCAAAGCCTAGTTAAGTAAATAGGGCTCTTCCCAATGATTTCAGTGGGCATTGAATTGGGCCTTCTAACTTTAAATTCTTAGTAGCCTTTGGTAACTGATTTATTGTACAGCAGGGGAAAAATAGAACCCTACAGGGTTAATTTCTGAAAGATATTTAACACATTTTTTGTTTCCATGTTTGTACTATTGATGTGTTTAGACTTACTAAATGTTCACATTCAATGTGTTTGACTTTACAAGCGTTTAGTGAAAATGCCAATTATTTTTTAGGTGATAAGTTTGGAAATCGCACTAGATTTGAGATTGGCTTTTACATTTTATTCTTTAAATTGCCGTTCGTTGTTAGATACAGCTTGATCAACATGTGTCTAGTAGATATTATGGTTGTACACAATACTTGAGGCCATCCTCATATATATTTTTATATATAATTATTCACCGTGTTTGACCCAAATATAGGCACATTACACAGTCAGTACTTTTAAAGAGACGCAACTATTATGACCCACTAGCTAGACCCATATTTATATAGTGGAGGTTAAAATAACTTTTCAATTATAATAGTGTTTAATGTGTACTTTTATTTTTAGCAGTCTCAAAAGGTTGCCAATATTTATCAAATAATAAACGTTTTCTCCATAGGGACAGAAGTCCTTTACCAATGTATACAAGTTACAGTATTACTCCCTTTTTTAGAGTAATCTTAATATTTCAACTACAATTTATCAAGAATTTCCATCTATATAAGTATAATATAAGCAATAACACAGTATTCCAGGGTGTATGTTCTGATTTTAAAATCAAACCCCCTTTGTGGTTACAGTTGCAAGCTGTAAACCAAGTAGGCTTTTTTTTTGTTATGTTACTTCCAGAACTTTGCTACTATATCAACACACTCTGTAACTGTGTCAAATTCACTACAATGCATATGGGGGACATTTTGTAAGTTCTCGTTAAGCCTTTCCTCCCTCCCCACTTTCTTCCCCTTACTCCTGTTGCCTTCTCCCCCATTAGCAGCACTTATAAGTGGCTTCAAAGAAATCTGTAAATCTGTTAGTCTTTAAAATGCCACCGGACTCCTCGTTTTCAAAGAAATGTACATGCTGCTTCTCTTTGTTCTCTTTGTAAAACTCTGCAGTGGCTGATTAGCTAAGGTGTGGTGATGGGAAATGGGCGGTGAGTAAAGAAAAAATGGCAGAAGATATTTAAAAGGACACAGTCTATGTGAAACCTAGTTATTTTTTTATAAATGAATTTAAAATAGTCTCAGATACTGCACTTGCTTCTGAGTCATCTTGTCAGTTTTTGTGATCCTACAACTTTCTCTCCCCTGTTGCTGTATAAAAGATCCATAGAAACATGGAAAACCGATTAATGATTGTACAAGTGAAACTGGCTATACATAAAGTGCTATTTAGTGCATATGTTTTTTTATCTCTCAGTTGTAGAATTATAACTATTATTGTTACAGTGGTATGTAAAATATTTTCAGACCAAATTTATTTTTTTTTAAGGAAGTTCAAAAATTTCATACCTAGGACACACTTCGTAGAGTGTTGATCTGATACTATGGAATGCTTAACATGTTTAACTTTTGTGCATGTGAGTATTCCCTTTGAGACTACTACTTGTATATGTTTACAGGATTGGGAACCATGATTTCAGTTTCAGTAAAGTTTTTCATGCAGTTACCAAATATAGGAAATAAGATGACTTTGAGTTGTCTGTTTTATAATGTTTCACTTTCTCATGACTTGGGAATTTTAAAGGGATGCCAACCAATTTTCTGTCTTGTTCTTAATTTGCATTCAGCAAGAGAAGGAAGAACAACATCAGTTAGCTGTCACTGCTTACTTAAAAAATTCAAGGAAAGAGCATCAGCGTATCCTTGCTCGTCGTCAAACTATAGAGGAGAGAAAGGAGCGTCTTGAAAGTCTAAACATTCAGCGTGAGAAAGAAGAGTTGGAACAGCGTGAAGCTGAACTTCAAAAAGTTCGTAAAGCTGAAGAAGAGAGACTGCGCCAGGAGGCAAAAGAGAGAGAGAAGGAGCGTATTCTGCAAGAACATGAGCAAATCAAAAAGAAAACTGTTCGTGAACGCTTGGAGCAGATTAAGAAGACTGAACTGGGAGCCAAGGCATTCAAAGATATTGATATTGAGGTAAGCAACTTATTACTGGAATATTGAATTTATTCTAGATTCTTGTACTGTTGTTCAGCTGCCTAAATTTCATATTCTCCACCTGATTTGTTTTTATGTCAGTAAGACATTCCTAAAAATATCAGACTACCAATTTGGACAATTTAAATATTTGATCAGTTATTGGGATAGAAGCTATTTACGTGTAGGAAAGAAGTCCAGCCATTTGAGAGGGGACTGACGATTTCTACCATCTAGATACCTACCTAGTAATAAAACATGAAATAGACATCCAAATTGTACCGGTAACAACGGGACTATATCTTAGTTAGAATTCAGATAAAAATCCATGAGATGTCTTCAAAGTAGAATGCAAGTTACACAACAGACACTATCAGGAGCCTAAAAATGTTCAGAAAGTCAACTAGTTTGAAAGTTAAATGAGAAATTGCAAAAAAAAATTAAAGTAAACATAGGAAACTGCATTCATGCCAGGAAACAACTATTTGCTTTCTGTACTGTTTATTAACTTTAATATCTGATTGTAGGATCTTGAAGAATTGGACCCTGACTTCATCATGGCTAAACAGTTGAACAGCTGGAGAAAGAAAAGAAGGAACTCCAAGAACGTCTGAAGAATCAGGAAAAGAAGGTATCTAAAGCAATAAGAGTATGGGCATGGCTATATAGAAATTTATACAGGTTTGGTTAAACCATTGTGAACCCCTGTGTGGATACACTTTTATACTGATTCTAAAACAATATCAGTTTACCTTGCTGCTGTAGAGATACAGGAGCAAGCTGAATTCATACAAGCCAGGCTTTAATTGATCTGAGTCTCGACACACAAATCTGCACCAATTTAACTAAATTGGTTTAAAATCACACCTTGGATTAAACTGGTGCAACTTTGCATGTTTCAAAGACAAATATGCTGGGAATACTGAGGCAGTGAATATATTGGGTGAAGTAGAAATATTTTTTTAGCATACCAGATTTGGTCTTTATTTTATACATTATAGGTATAATACATTTGGTTTTCTATATTTAGATTGACTATTTTGAAAGAGCAAAGCGCTTGGAAGAAATTCCTCTGATAAAGACTGCCTATGAAGAACAAAGAATCCGAGATATGGACCTGTGGGAACAGCAAGAAGAAGAAAGGGTAAGGATATTTTGATTTCGTATAGCAGCCTCATTTGGTGCCCGATATAAAAACTAGGTCTGTGCCATATGTATGCTTTCCCTTGTCCAGCTCAATCCAAGAAGAGGAGATGTGATTTAGTTCCTAGGGGATTATTTCAGTTTCTCGTTATTTTCTTCCCACTCATGGATAGCAATGTCTTTTGTGTCAGTCCAGCTAGAGAAAGAGGCAGCTGTCTGATAAGCTGCCTCTGGTTGTGGGCTCTGAGGGTTAAACAACCTCAGGGGATTGTGTTATAAAGACAAATATTATGTAATTTTTAAAAATTGTTAATATTTTTACTTTTGCATATTTGTAGATCACCACAATGCAGCTGGAACGCGAAAAAGCCTTGGAGCATAAGAACAGGATGTCAAGGATGTTGGAGGATAAAGACTTATTTGTATCTAGGCTCAAGGCAGCACGACAATCCATTTATCAGGTAAACATCATGTGTTCTTGTTGGAAAAGCATTTCTATAAAGTACAGGACTTAATTTGTGAGTTCAGTGTTCCACTTGAAAAATACAAATGAATTAACAAATGGAGCTAGACAAGATAATGTCTGTTTAAATTACAAAGATGTTGCCCTGCTATTTTTCTGAAACTCTGGGGGGAAAACCCTTTCTGACAGTCTAGAAGAATTCAAATTTAGACAGTTGACCCTTTGAAAGACAAACAGTGATGGCCACAATGTGACATTGAGCCACAGAATAATTTTGTAATCCCAGAGAGCCCTCGTTCTTTCATTGAGAGTTGCATTAATGAAGTGTGCATGGGAGTGGAGATGTCCACTTGATGATCTGGCAGACCCTGTCGCTTCCCAGGCACTGTCATTTAAAATTGCTGTGGCATCTACCACGGTTGCTTACATGGAAAAGTAATTATTAAAACATTAGATGTATTTTAGCTGCCTTTCAATATGGTTTAGCAGATGGAAATGAGGAAGAGCCAGCAGCATGTGACCAGTCAGCTCTTCTAGACCACAAGTAATCCACAGACCACAATTTGGAGTTGCTCGTCTGGTTAGAGTAATCTCAAAAATCTTTCTAATCTAAAGAACAGACTTAAATTAACACAATTCTTGTGTTTCAGTTCTGTCTTTTTAGTTGATTCAGCAGATCACTTATATGTTAGAGAGGTATCTCTGGTATTTTAGATGTGAGACTAGGTTCCTGACCTGAACAGGTCATATCTAAATTAGATACATGAAAGGGGAGAAGAGATGCAATAGAAATTGTGTGACTTAGTTTCCTGTTCTAGCACTTTGAAATTTCTCTGAATTTCTCTGCAGTGTATTGGAGATTTAGCAGTTTTCCTCCCATAAATATTATGGAATTTAGAAGGGAAAATTATGATCTTAAAAATAGCAGAGTCCTATGGCACCTTATAGACTAACAGACGTATAGGAGCATGAGCTTTCGTGGGTGAATACCCGAAGAAGTGGGTATTCACCCACGAAGGCTCATGCTCCTATACGACTGTTAATCTATAAGGTGCCACAGGACTCTCTGCTACTTTTACAGATCCAGACTAACACGGCTACTGATACTTGATCTTAAAAACGTATCTATTGTCTTTAGGGGTTACCTCTACAGAGTTTTTTTTCCTGAGATTTTTAGGGATATGAGAAACTGTCAAAATCAATATTCCTCAAAAGTAGGAATTTAAATTATCTTGTTATAATAACTGTTAAAGAGGGAAGAGGTTTTAGCAGCTTTCTGGTAGCTATGTGCGACTCTTTCTGTGGCACCACCTGTGATTTCTGAGAGATTGGGCATCTGTTTATCATACTTGGGTTTCTGAGGAAACAAAGCACTAGCATTGTGGATGCTGATTCCATTTCTCAGAGGTAGACATTGCATCCCTTTATTCTTAACTTCCCAGAAGGGGATTGGCAGGAGGAAAGTTTAACCATCACCCCGTAAAATGGCCAGTGGATGGGAAGATGACTACTGCAAAATTTGTTGACATTACTATTTCGTAGTTCTTTGCACCTTTGTTCAGTGACCTAAATAATTCTCCAGCTGTTGGATTGAGTTCTGAAGGTTTTACTTGTACTCTTGCTATTTTTCAGGAAAAACTCAAACAGTTTGAAGAAAGGTTAGCAGAAGAAAGACATAATCGTTTGGAGGAACGTAAGAGACAACGCAAAGAGGAGAGGCGTGTTTCTTATTACAGAGAAAAGGAGGAGGAAGAGCAGAGATTGCAAGAAGAAAAAATGCTTAAAGGTAAAAAATTAAGAGACATGCACTGACTGATATTGTAGCTCATTCCTTCTTGAACCATCCCAAAATCTTTCAAAGTCAAGTATAGGTCACTGTGTTCCATTGGATAGTAGGAAATGTTTCTGTTCCTTTCCATTCGGAGGAAAGTTCTATATTCATTGCAACCATACAGTGCAGCTCGTGAGAGGCATGCTTGTGCAGCCACCCAGCCTGCTGTCTCTCTCTGTGTACACACAGACACACTAGGGGCAGAGGTGTGTAAAATGAAGAGGCAATAATGAATGAAGGAGGGGATAGAGTAAGAATGGGAGTTGGAGAGTCTCTATTCAAAGGTTTCAAATTAGAGTTCTCGCCATCTTTCTTTCCGTACACGAGGAGAAAAAAATAGAGGGAACATTGTTGCCAGACTGAGAACACAAGAATTACCATATTGGATCATTGGCGTGTTCTCTCTAGTCCAGTATCTTCTGTCTGTGGTGGCTAGTACCCGAGACTTCAGAAGATGATGCTTGGAAATTCTTAGATTGGACAAATATGAAATAACTTTCCATAGGGCAAATATTTTCCCAACCCGCTGTTAATGGATGACTGAAGCCCTGAAGTGTCAGGTCTGTATCCTTTATAAAACATCTTACAAAAATCCTGAATGAAGATAAGATTTTATCTGGCTTATGAAATAATTAGTTGCTTTTTTTGACACGTCCTTAAGAAGAACTTCTTGCCCATACTTGAGGTACATCAAGGTTGTTATGGTGTTAACTAGTATTTCACATGTTTAGTGTTTATAAATTTGATTTGTGCAGCGATAAATAGATATCTGCATGGTTTCTTTATTACATATCTAACAGCTGTTGTGCCAGATATCAAGTTGATCAATTATTTTGTTTTTTTTCTGTCATGTAGACGTTAATTACTTTCAAAAGAAGAATGCTGCTGTTCACAAATACTACAATGGTTACTTAGATGTTTGTGGGTGTGAGGAGGACTATTGTGTACCCTTTCTCTTTTTTCCTCCAGTTATAAACTGCTCTCAGAGAGCATTTGCTCTATTGGTAGTTTATTTTATTTTTTTCAAAAGAATACAAATTCTTGTTGCAGAGCTCGAAGAGAAGGAACGTGTTGAGCGTGAAAAACGTGAGCAGGAACAGCGTGAATACCAGGAGCGTGTCAGAAAACTAGAAGAAGTAGAGAGGAAAAAACGTCAAAGAGAGCAGGAAATTGAAGAGAGGGAGCGTCGCAGAGAAGAGGAGAGGAGGGGTCTTGATGACCCACTTTCAAGAAGGGTATTGTGATTAGCTTTTTAATCAGCTGGTTGCTCTTCCTCTCTCTATATTTTGTAAGGAGTTGAAAATGCAGTTTAGGTGGGCTAATGAAAGCCGTGTAGAGGTGTACAACCCATAAGGAAAAGTTTAGTTAAATTCTGTGTGCTTAGTTGCTTGTCTAGTTCAGAAGTTAATATTTGGGTGTCAGCAATTGACCATTTATTCATTGGCCACAGAAAATTAGTTGTCAACAAATTGAAGCAATATGTTTAAAGGGGTAGAGAATAGATTTAATTGTGGTAAGCACAGATGAATTGGGAGGGACCAGTGAGGAACAAAATTGTAATGGCTTATGCTAAAGTTGTGAATCAGAATAGCCATTAAAGGGAAACTCCAGTCTAAACATAAAAATAAACATACTCATTACATCAGATTAGAAGAGTGAAGAACTAAAAAATTTTAAAAAAATCAGAAGCTATCATTTTGAAAATATAATACAAAATCGAACTGAAATAGTGCACTTTCTCAGTAGAGTACACAGGAAATAACAATTTAAAAAAATCCAAACTCATAAGTTAAATTGTGTCATGATTTTGGGGATTGGTATAATAATAAAGTCATTCCAAAAATGTGTGTTACATCCTGTAACTTACCTATACGGGGAACGGATAGCTCAGTGGTTTGAGCATTGGCCTGCTAAACCTAGGGTTGTGAGTTCAATCCTTGAAGGGGTCATTTAGGGATCTGGGGCAAACATCTGTTTGCGGATTGGTCCTGCTTTGAGCAGGGGGTTGGGCTAGATGACCTCCTGAGGTCCCTTCCAATCCTGATATTCTATGATTCTATGAAAACTTTGACATTTTCTAATTTTTAATGCTTGCTAATGGGAAAGCTTGTTTTAGGTCCTCCTTTGGATGTCATTCAAGGAGATACTGAAACAAGTAGAAGTACTTGTAGAAGTACTCTTCTACAAATATTTTTGAAAAAGTGGTTGTTCTTAGCAAACATTTGTTTGGCTATCTAAAACCACCAGCTCATTTAATACCAGGTGACACTCTTGTCCATTACTAATTTGCCTATGTGGAAAAGTTGATTTCCAGTTCCTAGGGAACAGGTATGCACATCACCCCAAAAATGCCTTCACAACTGGCAGACTCACTGAAAGCAAGGATTGAATGATCCTAGGTAGTTAACTGTGATCTTTTGTGTAGAGAGAACTTTATCTACGGGGCTCTCAATTTAGTACTACTTACTAGCACTACTAAATGTACATATTTTAGTACAGGGAAAACTTTTCAGTCACAAACTGAATGTTTAATCACAACTGTTACAAAAGGGCCTACTCACTGACCGTCTTTTTTCTATTTGAGTCATTGTAATGAATGTGTGAAAAGTTATTTCCATAACAAACTGGTTGCTATAAAAACTTCCATATATCCCTTCTGGAGGAGGAGCTAGGCTTTGTAGGGCATAAAGCCCATATTGAAATACAAATTTAGAGGCTTGGAAACACCATTGACCAAGTAGCTTTAAATGTCTGTCTTAGTTGGATCCAATTTTGAAGGTCACTGTTCTAAGTAAGTGGATGGCTATGTGAAAATCAGTCATTCATATGATTAATCTATAACGCAAATGTATCGTCTTCTATATCTTGTACAGAAACTTTTTTTCATTAGCGAATGAAATTGTTTCAGGATTAGATAAAAATGGTCTATTTTTGTTTGATAGTAGGAGAAACTTCGCTTTGTAAAATGGATCATTGATTATTGCTATGCCTAATATTCACTTCCAAGGATTTAACTGTAAAAATGTCATATGCTAAATAGTTTCTGTGTAAAATGGAGTGTCTGTGAATCACAAAAAACTGTTAGGTGCTTTACAAACACAGAACAAAAAGATGGTCCCTGCCTCCAGAGGGTTTATAATCATAATTATAAAATGAGAGAGACAACAGATTGATATTGATAGGGGAATATAAGGAAACAATAAGGCAGTATTAGTCAGCATGATCAGCAGTATCAGTGCCTCAGGTGCTTAACCGTTGTCAAATCTTTTTGTAGGCATCACAACAACAGAGAGTTTGAAGGAGGATAATAAGGTAGCTTTGCAGATGATTATGGGGAGCTTCTCCCAAGCATAAGACATAGCAGGGGAGAAAGCACAAAGGTGCTTGTTTGAAAATTAAGCATGTGGGTAATGGATGCTGGCATCAGTGGCCAGTTGAAGGCAAGAGTCAACATTTCAGTAGCAAATAAGAGGTGAAAGGCTGTAGAGGGCTTTTTTTTTGAAAGTGAAGACAAACAGGTTATATTTGCGATAGAGGAGGGGTTGCCACTGGAGGGATTCAAAGAGGGGTGGGTGACATGATGAAAGCGATGGGCTAGAAGAATGATCTTTGCATCAGTATTCTGAATGGATATGAATGGGGCACAACTACATTTGTCAAGTCCAGAGAAAAGGAGGTTGTATTTGAGATATGAGATGAGGTTGGATGAGAGTTTTAGTGGCGTGGATGGATGAGAGAGAATTTGCAAGATTTAGACATAGCCTGAATGTAGGGATCTAGAGAGGGATCCAAGTCAAAGATGACGCACAGATTACAGGTCTAAGTGACAGGCAGGATGGTGGTGATGTTCACAGTGATTGAAAAAGGAGGTGAGGTGGGAAGATTAGGCTCTGTTTTAGCCATCTTGAGCTTGTGCTTGATATCTAGACATCTAGATAGACTTCATAGACACATAAATGTGTAAAGGTACTCTATATCCAGAGTACCTGTAAACACTTATTGTTATAAGGTTTTACTTGGTTATAGTGGGTCATATCATGTAATGAATGAAGAACACTTTTTAAAAAGTTGAATTGAAGTGACTGGACATCTGCTGCTGTTTATGGTAGTACATTAATTTAAAATGTCTGTGGGTTGAGTTCTAATATATTTCTCAGCTAAAAAATCTAGCTGCTGCTTAAAGTCACACTACAATATTGCTCATGTACTTAATTAGCGCTAGTAAACTTTTTGTTGTATTAATCTAGAATTTAAACCTAAAGAAATATTATTTGTATCCTATTATCTGATACGTCTGTTCCTTAGCTCAGCCAATTTACAGTTATTTAAGCGTTACATTGCAGAGAACATCAGCTTAATTGGTGCTAGAGCATGATGTTAAGTGAATGGATTGCAAATATTAGAAGTTCTGTATTTTTGTGCTACCAAAGCTGATGCTACTGTTTACCTGTGGTGAATATAGGAATCTCGTTGGGGTGATAGAGATGCTGACAACACCTGGAGACGAACAGCTGAGCCAGAATCTGAATGGAGACGAGCACCACCAGAGAGGTAAGTAGAGGAAAATCCAGCGTCATGGTTGTTGGGCCCCCAATTTGTAGGCACTCTTCCTGTTGTCAGTCTGAATAGCCTTTGCCTCTATTATGGCCAGCATTTGCATCTTTGAAAGTTATTCTCAAGGGGTTTTTTAAACTCCTTTATAAGGATTCCAAAGTAAGACAGAAGGAGTATAGCTATTTAGAAATGCAAACAGGGAAGAGGGGACTTGTGATAAGATATGATAAAGACCCATCCAAACTCTATCGTACTTTTATCCAAGCATCCTTTTATCTAGAACATTGAATACAATTAAACTTCCTGGTTTATTTAAACCTTTACATTAAAACCAGCGGATGCCACCAAACCTCTAATAAACCAGCAGCTGATTACATGATTTTTCTTTTGCTAAATCTGCAGCCTAATCAACCATCATCTTTACTTAAATGATTTGCTGCAGAGCTCAAAATGAGGGAAAGAGAGTGGCTAGATATAGACTTCGTGATGACCTATCATATTAGGAATTTTCCATTAAGGAATTGAGACAGATATCGAAGAACTATGTAACAAAAATTCAAAGCCTTGCAAGAAATTCAAAATCCAGGATAATTTACAGAAACTGAAAATATATGCTGCAAGCTGAAACTAAGATCCAAAGAAATGTCATAAATTGAGAAGGGAAGCAAACTGAAAAGGGAGAGTTTAAGGACTCAGTATTTTGAGGCTGTTCTTTTGCTAAAATGCTTATCCTAGGTCTGACTGTTTTAGGATATTTGGGTACGTTCACTGATAACTGAGAGGATTTTGAGAATGACTGCATAGAAGGAGAAATATTGGTCTTTGGGAGCTCTGTGCATCTGTTAGAACTTTTTTTCTTTCTCTTACATGCAGTTAAAATATTGAGAGGGGAATCAAAATCAGTACAGGCTAATATGCAAGACTATTGAACGTTTTCTTGACCAATTCTTTTAATTTGTCCCAAGAGAGTAATTGAAGCCAAATCTAGCCATAATACTTTCTGACATTGCTTAAGATGAAGGGTAGGGGTCCTGTATTATTTCTGCATCCAAAAGTCTCATTGGTTTTAGTGGTAGTCTGGGTGTACAAGGAATGTGTTAATTTATATTGGACTCTAGTGTAGTAATGTAGATTTGACTGCAACTGAATAAAATGTTCAGAAATCTATTTCTGAATTAAGGCAGAGGCAGTGATATAGAGGGCAGAACACAGAGCAGTAGCAGGAACAAATATTTAGTTTATGCCTATGGCTCCTAGCACAAATGGTGTCATGTTGGAATCGTCCCATGGACACCAATAAAGGTAAGGAAATTCAGAGATTGTCTCGCAAACGTAGATTTTTCACTTGAAACCATTTCATTCATCACTCAAATGCCAAGAGCCATATGACAGTCCATAATCGTGGAACTACTTGTAGAGTGCAGGCAGGCACACTGATTACCCAGGACTTCAGGGTGGTCGTTTTAGCTGTCAATTTGTCCTAGTTGTCTTCAACCTTTTCTGGACCATGACCCTGTGTTACAACAGGAAATAATTGCAGATTTCCCCCTCCCTAGCCATAAGGAGAGGGTAGTCCTGACACATGCTGGATGTGTTTGCAAACCCCAGGTTGAGAACCTGTGGTCTAGTCAATGGAGAGTCAACCTTCACCATACAAGGAAGATGGTCAACATAAGAAACAAAAGAAAGCATAAATCTCTTAGAATCCGGGCAACAAAATTAGTCATCTTCCAGATAATATCTGCAATTTGCCAAAACAGCCAAGGAAAATAAATTTATAACTGAATAGAGAGGCTGTGCAGTGTGTGTCACAGAGTGAGGAACTTATCACCCCAAAAAACATTATATAAAATATTACCTCTCCATCAAAAAAGCAGATTGGTCTTTGGCAGATGGCAGTTGCTCTAGAATGCACCTTCAACAGGAGTGTCTGTTTCCAGATCACCCATTTTAGGGAAAATAGAGATTGTTCACAACAAGCACTTCTAGTTCCTGAGAGGGACCAGAAGACAACGCTGGAATTCATCAGAGGAGATGATATTATTTCAGCTATCATAGAAATGTAGGGCTGGACAGGACCTCAGTAGGTCTTGTAGTGTATTCCCTCTGTGCCAAAGCAGGAATAAGTATATCTAGACCATCCTTGATAGATGTTTGTCTAACTTCTTAAAAAAAATCAGTGATGGTGATCCGTTGCTTTTGCATGACTCGTATTGCTCCCCAGAGGAGCCCCAAATAGCTTTTCATGTGCTTCTGATAATGGAAAAAAGGCCTGACGTGTATTTCATGTGTGTATCTTATGTACTTTTTGAGTTATGAGTGAGCATAAGAATTCTTAAACTATCATCATCCACCAGGATTGGGGAAAAGTTAGAGATCCTAGTACCAGGTCTCCCCCATTTTTGATTAGCATGAAAAACTCTACCTGAATTGCAAAGACATCCTACTTTAAACCTCATCAACCTTATAATGGAAATTGGGTTGCAGTCTTGAGTGTGGAGTGGCTGCTGCCATTCTGTAATGAACTGAATAATAATCTTGTCTGATCATTAGTTTTTGTTGCAAAAAGATATCCCCCTATAGAACATTCTGTATGTTAGCCTCCCACAAGTGTGCATGTCATTCCCTATATGTTAGTATGTTTGACTGAGATTACAATTCGCTTTCTAACTTCAATAAACATACTTAATTTCTAAAGGGAATTTTAGTAGAGAGCCATATTCACAGTTGAAAGAGCTTCCAGTTGCCCCTAATCAGTACCTATCTCCTGACTTTTCTTTCCATCTGAAGAATTATTTCACAATTTTGAAGGTACAAAGATTAGCAGAAGTAATTGGCACAGTATTTTACAATTACCTTCTTAAGATCCTGAGGAATCTGAGTTATAGACTTTCTTTTGCTATGGTTATAGATATCACTACTTCTGTCAATTTAGAGCACCCATACAGCTAATTTTGTTAGTGTTCCTAAACAGTCACCTTTCACCAGAGACTGAGTAGGAAAAACTTTAGCTTGAAAGAGAATTCTCCGATTTGAGTGCAAACAGGAGTCTAGAATAGAATTGCTGTCTCATTGTTTGTTAAAGGTAATTGTACTCTCCCTCATTCTGGAAGAAGAAACAGGAAGCTGTAACTCAGATTTTTCAAGATTGTTGAGGTATGGGTTGTGTCAAATTAACAGCGGCATACTCTTCCCCTCTTGTTGGAATCCTGCATTATTATTTTTTTAACCAAATCTTTGTAGTTTACCTCTAAGCAGTCCAATAATGTGCATTTTTACTTTTCAAATTCATGAGAAATTCAAATCCAGGTTAACACCTTGATTCGTAATTCCTAAAAGATACACACCACCCTCCATCTTCATAATAAACTGTCCCTCATTCCCCACAAATAGTTTGTTTAATTTCCTAAAATTGGGAGGAAACCTTCACCTCTTGACAGAACCATGGCTTGTGACCTGTATAAATATGTAAAATAGATGCCATCCTTACTGTATTTAGTGCTGTTGTGAAAGAAGAGGTGCAGCCAAATATATATATAGAGCACTTGGTGAAGCATTAAAATAAACAATATATCTTGGATAATGACAAGTAAGAAAGCTCACACTCTTATCCAGTGGTATCCAATCTTTTCAGCCTTGAGGACCAAACATATTTCAAAAGCTCAGGGAGCCACAATCAGTATTATGGCACAGATTCTGCCATTGCTGTGCTCCCTTTGCATCACTTCAGAATGGGGTAGTCCCCAGAGGGCATAGTCAGTCTGTCAATATCCTGTACCTCCCTACTTGCAGCCACCTAGCACAGAGGGTGAGGAAGATGAGAGGCCGGGAGCGCATTGTCCTCTGACCATTCCAAGTTGGATTATGACCCCTACGGGACTGTTGCCAGTTAAAGCATTCCAAGGCTGCTGTGATGGACCTGTGCGTGATTGTTGGTTACCAACTTCTGGACTGCACTGTGTGGCTGTGTGAGGCAGGGAGGAAGAGATGGGAGCCATCCTTTAACAGTCATTCCCTTAGACCAGTGGTCCCCAAACTTTTTACCTCATGCCCCCCCTCATTCCTGTCCACACCCTCAGAGCCGGGGCATGGAGTGGGGCTGCGGTTCTGGGGGGGCACGCGGACAGGGGTAAGTCCCCTCCCCCCGCCAACTCCTGTACTCCACCGGGCCAAGAGGCACAGGCAGAGTCGATGGGGGAGCGTCAGCAGTCGACTCACCGCAGTGAAGACACTGCAGTGAGTAGATCAAAGTATGTCGACTTCAGCTACGTTATTCACATAGCTGAAGTTGCGTAACTTAGATAGATTTTTACCTCCTTCCCCGCCAGTGTAGGCCAGGGCTTAGACTCTGGCAGAGCCCCTCGAATGCCTTTCCTGCTCATCTTGGATTCCCACAAATCGGCAGGGAAGAGGCAGTGGAGCAGCCAGACTTATTCTCTTTGCAGTTCAGCAGGTGGCCAGCAGGGGAGCAGCTGTAGCCTAGAAGGGACAACAGCTGCTCAGAGCAGTTTCTTGGGCAACGGGGGAGGTGATGCCTCCTACCTCCTTTTGACAGTGATGAGGCTGATTCAGATACTTCCAGTTAGAAATAGCAACTGGTTGGGGAATGTATTTTCAACTTGCAGTCAATTGCACATTTTCTTCATAACGTGCACCTTCAAGGGCCACAGGTTGGACCCGCTGCTCTAATACATAAACCTTTCTTCACTTTTCACCCTTTTCATGTTGTTTAATAGGGAATGGCGCCGTGGAGAAGGGCGTGATGATGAAAGACCTTTCCGAAGAGGAGATGATCTACTTAGACGTGGTGGTGCTGAAGAGAAAGAGCCTTCTTCCCGGGAAGCAAATGAAGACCGAGCCCCCAAGCAGGATGTGGAAGAGGACGGGGAACCCAGGCGGGGCATGGACGAGGATGGGGAACCCAGGCGGGACGAGGATAGGGAACCCAGGCGGGATGAGGATGGGGAACCCAAGCGGGATGAGGACGTGGAACCCAGGCGGGGCATGGACGAGGATGGGGGACCTAGGCGGGGCGTAGATCAGGACAGAGGGAGTTGGCGCACTGCAGATGACGACAGGGGGCCCAGGCGTGGCCTGGATGACGACAGGGGGCCCAGGCGTGGCCTGGATGACGACAGGGGGCCCAGGCGTGGCCTGGATGACGACAGGGGGCCCAGGCGTGGCCTGGATGACGACAGGGGGAATTGGCGCACTGCAGATGAGGATAGGGGTCCCAGGCGCGGGCTGGATGAGGATAGGGGTCCCAGGCGCGGGCTGGATGAGGATAGGGGGCCCAGGCGCGGGAGGGATGGGGAGAGGGGGT